CCACCACCCCCCCCCCCCCCCCGCCCACACACACACACACACACACCCCACACGCACACACTCTGATATTAAAAACTGCTTTACACATAACTTTTTGCTGCAGTTTTGCAGTTTTTACACCACCCTGGTGAGGTCGATGGTCCTTCCTCTTCACCTGTGGCAGCAACAGTAGGTGGTAGTCCTTACTCCTGGATTGTGCATAAGGATGTGTGAGCTCAGTGCAGGTGTATTGTAAGCCAAGGTCAGTGTGATGATACACGGGAAAGTGGAGGAAGTGGTTAGCTGATGCTAGACATCATTCAGTCTAAAAGAGGATGTCATTGGATCATAGATTATTGCGGATAAAGCTGCTTTTTTGCACAACCTGTTTTATTTTATACCTGCTGGGCAACCTGTTTTTTTTATTTTTAAAAATTGAGTTGTTTTGTAGAGAAAAGGTGACATTGGGCTTTAAAGTACTGCAGGGTATTTCTGATCCTGACCCAGCTCTCCTTGCTCCTGCTGGCTCCAGAGACCATATCAAGCTGTCACCAAGTTGGTGATATGACTTCCAGGCACCTCTGCTAAAATTGTAATTTCCAAGACTGCAGTTATGACAGTTTAACCAAGCTATGTACTTTCAGGGTGCTACACCCAAAAATGTCATCAAACACAGGATGTTCATAGAATGATATGTCCCTTTCCTCCTTCTGCTTACTCCCTACTGAATTTGCAGGCAAATTGACAGCTGGGACATTCTGTCTATTACAGGAGCGATTGGTGCTGCTGCTTCTGTCAAAACAACATTTCTGATCAGTGTTTGTAAACACTGTTCAGAGAAGTGATTCAGAGATGTAATGCAACTTTGTTGTTACATTGTAATTGCTCTATCCCATTCATCTGCAGATCAAAGGGGTGACTTTTGATCTGCATATGTCAGTTAAAAGTTAAAAAATTTAAAAACAATTAACACTTGTTACTATTTATACCCTTATTTAAACCTATTCAACCTTAAAATATTTCCCCTTAGCTATTATTTTTCTGATCTATTTTATTTTTTGCTAGTCATTAATATTTAAACTTTTTATTCATTATGTGCGTTAATTATTTTTTTTGAGCTTTGCATTAAATAAACATGCAAAACTGAAAACTTTGCAATGCTTTGCACCAGATTTTTTATTTTAGTGCTATTGTAAACAGGATAAGCAACAGAATAAAAAGTATACATTTTTACCTAAAGTAACACGATTTTTTAAACTAACACTGGATTGCACAAAAATTTAAATATTTTAGGAAAAAAAGCTGACATGCACCTAAACAATATTACTTTGTTATCTTAAATATAGTAAATAAACTGGCTTATAGCAAAAATGAAAAACATGTTTTTGTCCATAATGGGCATAGAAGTGTAATATTTCAAGTGGCTACATTTTTTTTATTTTTTAGACCAATAGCTGATCCTAACTGAAATGTAATATTAGTTGCCAGTATGATTATTTCATGATGGCTGATTTAAGAAAACACAATAAAAGGTGTGATGGAAGCAGTAAAGTTGTAGGATAATTTGGATGCTCTTCCTGGTACTCTGGTCTGGGACCTCGTCAGTAGGGGCCAGAGCAATAATGGCTTGATTCTAAGGGGTGCAATGACAGAGAGGAAGGACACCAAAAGGGTTATTCACAAAGCTAGCTTTGGCTGCCATTACTGTTATGGTGACAGGTTAACTTTCTTTGCTGAATAACTCTGTTTTCTCAATCTTTTTATCTAATCTATCTAGTTTTCTAATAATTTCCATTTATTTATTTCAGCTTGGTTGGACTTATTACCCTAATGCTTTTTCTTTGATGTCATGGCAGGCTCCGCCCAGTTGTTATTAATTCTAGAGCAGGTCCCGGCCAATAGGAAACAGTTGGGCGGAGCTAGCTGTCAATGCTAGCCCCGCACAATTGTTTTCTACTTTTTTTCCAACTTTTTTTCACAGTTTTTCTATTCTGCTCGGTACCGCGGAGGTACCGAGTAGAATAGCCAAACCGAATGCCGCTCAGCTATTCACTCACTGCTTGGCTATTCACTCACTCACTCACTGCCGTTCAGGCCCCTATGAGAATAGGCTGAGCGGCAGTGAGTAGCCTGCCGGAGGTTTGGATTAGCCGATCCAGATGTTGGATAGGCTGAGTCAAACTCCATCTGCACTTCGGGTCAGCCGAACATGCTGAGCATGCTCGACTGAACCGAAGCCAGCCGAAGCAAGCTGATGTACGCCTGATTTCAGCCATATTATGGCTGAAATCAGCCCTACAAGCCTGAAGTGGATAGCCGAACGGCGTTCGGCTCACTTCACTTTGGTTCGGGTATTCACTCGGCTGCCTGCGGCAGCTTTGTTAATTACCCTTCTACTGTCTCTAATCAACTTTTCTTTTGTTATGGTACAAGCCCCAAAATATTTTCATGTAGATGTCCAGGGGTTCTCCAGGTATTTTAGGGCCCTAAAAGCATCCCTCATGAAAGCACAGCAACATTATGCTCCCTTCACAGTTAGTTAGTAAAGGTTAGGGTTTTAAAATATTTTAGGCTAACTTATTATAAATTATTACTATTCTATTTTTCAGCTGCGCTTTATGCATGTATCTTATAACCCAGTTACAAAAATGCATGCACTGTAAGGCCTCATTCACACTGCCCTACAATACGCTGCGTATATGCGCATTGTCCCATATGCAGCATATGCAAATAAATGGCTCCATACACATATCTGTGCATGGAGCCGTATATTTGCGTAGCATAAAAATTCACAAAAACAGAGTGGAACAGAGATGCGTCCGGACAGCGTATTTCTGTGTATTTTATGCGCATACATGCATATACGCGCGTATACGCACGTATGTGCGTACAGTTCATTCAAATTGCTATCATGAATGATGCATTCTGGGATTGCATATAGTGCGCGCATATACGCACATATACGCAATATACAATTTTGCTCTTGCGTTGTGTGTGAATTAGGCCTAAAGCTTACATCCTATGCCTGTTGTATTCAATTTGCATTCTTACGGTCCCAGTACCACTTTAAGAAATACTGTAATTGGAAAATGTTAAGGGTATTAGAGGAGCACATAATAATTCACAAACTTACCTCTCTGATCTAGCAGCTTCAGGCAATGCTGACTCCCCTCCACTAATCACTCGCATAGAAACTCTAGCACGTTAGGAATCCCCCTCAGTGACCTGTTACTTTTCTCACTCCAAAAAACACCTGTAACTGTGACTTCTATTTAGATGAATAGCTTTAGCATCTCATGAAGACCTCAATAACTGACAGTTGCCTGCAGCTACGTGTTTTATTGCAGTGTGGTCAATGACCTATGGAAGTTGGTGTCATTACTCAGGAAATTATGTTACTAATTTGCTTCTCAGTACAAGAAGTGAGGGAATGAATGGCTGGGTGGAAAAGTAATCTAGCGGCTGGCTGTGGCAGGAAGAATATTTGTTACACGGTGACAAATTGCAATGATAGTTTACTGAAGACTGTGTGAGAAGAGGAGATAGGGAGCTTATCATCACATTTCATCTGCCTGTCCTCCATACTGCAGGAAGGGTGATACACAGTAGATTGTATTGCAGTGAACGGATGAGTGCAGTGTCTAAGCTATTTGTCATATCTATATGCAAGCTGCACATATGTGCATGTACATATATTGATGTAAAAAGGCAAAGACAATAACCCATAACAGCTAAGAACTTCATTGTTCTCACTGCTGTAAAGTGATGAAATGTAGAATTTGTTGCTATTGGTTACTGCACTACTGCACTTAGCACATCATTCTGGTTCTGGTGTACACTACCATTTTTTGTGAAGTGTATCTAGCTGTGATATAACTGGTTGTTCAATTTTGATTATGTTTACTGATGAAATTTAGACCTGAGTCTAACTCTAGGTGATCCTCGGTTTTTCCCCCTACAACATAAGCTTTAGGGGAAAACCTTTTGGATCTAGTTGTCAGAAATAAAAACGTCATTGCAGTTTACTAACTTCACAGGATCTCTTGTCCTCAGCAAGCTTAAAATTTTTCCTTCCATCGCAGTAACATTTATAACTTCCCGGCATGTTGACACACATTTGATTGCAGATGTCCTCTGCGCATTCATCTATGTCTATAAATCAAAAGGAAACCTAGTGAGTTCATTAGGATTGATCAGTAGATTTCAGGAGCCATTCAATCTAATCCAGGGGGAGCCAGTGAACATTTGTCTAATGTAGACCCCCAGAAATGATCTTTTATAGAAAGTTACATTGGTCCAGCTTGGCTCAATGTAAGTGTCCATATCTGATCTCCAGAGGTCTTTGCTAGATACATTGATAGCTATAATTTTCCAGGCACGTCTCCAGCAGCTTCCCTTCTGCACACTGTACACAGGGGGTGGCCGGCTGGGCACTGCTGCCATTCTGGGAATACCTTTTATTTATTCAGTGTATGCAAGGCATTCTCTTATTGCATAAGCTTGAGAGGAGGGATAGATGATGTTGCAATCTCCATGTTGTTCAATCAGAGAATGCCTTATAATCAGAGAATGCCTCCATTTAAAAAAAATATATGTAATTCTTTAAATGGTGGTGATGCAGAGCGAGCAACTCCCTGTATTTAATGTGTGGAGGAGAAAGCGCTGGGGCCGCAACCATACCAGCTATAACTGTATAAAGTGTGGACTAACACAGTCATTTTCAGCATCTCTCCAAATATCACATATGGATACTTGCATTGAGCCAATGTAACTTTCCATAAAAGATCATTCCTGGAGTTCTGGATTTTAAGGAAATTATAGGAGTTGATATACTAAAGGAATAGAAACTGCTCGTTTAGCACAGTGGACATTCACCCAGCTCATTGAATAAGGTGAAGCTGCGTTCACTTCAGTCATCCTATCATAATGTGCAAGTGAAAGCTGCGTTCTTTAATTTCCTTGTACATGATTGGATATTTAAGTTGAACACAGCTTCAGCCTATTTACTAAGTGAATGTTCACTTTGCAAATTAAGCAGGCCCTATTCCTTTATGGAATAAACCCCATAGACATACTGTACACACTCAGAAGGAGCAGTACGGCACAACCAATGTGCAGAACTGCATACCAGGAGACAGAACCTGCATATGGAATAAGCAAACATAGCTACCTGAATGAACATATATACTGTAATCACAAACTACACATGACCTGGGTATTTAAAACATGAACACAAATTGACAAAATGATTTACCTTAATTACTTATTTTCTATTTTTATTGGCATTATTATTTATAGCCACTTCCTTTGATAGGGTGACGACATTCTTCCTTGTGCAGTGAAATAACTGCAGAGCCCTCACCTTGCTGCTGTAGTTAGTAAGATGTTGACTCCATTAAAAACCCTGTCAGTGAATAGCTATGCTTAGCTTCGCGCACAGCCGTGTAGATTGACAGCACATAGGTCTACCTGCAGGACCTTAGGGAAATGATGTACCATTAAAAAGAGGTCAATTACATAAGACATATCATATGTCAAATGCTTGTTTATCACTCTACAAGGGAAAAAAAACTGGAGGCTTTAGATAGACTTTAAGGTTATAATATCAATTATGAGCATATCGAGCTGGAATTAAATTACTTAAAAAAATGAACATGATAGAATGCATACTGTTAAAAGAATTGCAAATACAGGTCTATCTTCTTCACTTTGTATGGATCTATGCCTCTTTTCACTGCATTGGGCTGGATGACAGAAAGAAGCAATTTGAAGATATCTTTTGATTAAATTTGGCGCGTTTGATTCTGATTGATAAGTTCTACTTTGGTAGGGTTTAACTACTCGTTTTTGTCTAGGTGCTAAAAAATATGATACTTACCCGAACCTCTGAGCGGGCTCCCTGCTTCTCTGGTCTCTGAAGTCTGTCTGCTCCTATGTTGCAGCATTGCAATGTTCCTCAGCGTCCTCATGTCTACACAGTGTATAGAACGTGATGATTTACGGGACCTCAGACCGCTCCAAGGAGCGTGGCTGGGAGAGGAAGCGTGGCTGGAAGGACCAGTCACAAAGAAAGGCGGTTTTAGAGCATTGGGAGAGTATAACTTTTTAGCACCTAGAGAAAAACGAGTGGTTAACCTTTGCAGTGCAGGGATAGTTTTTGTAGTTTAAAGGGTCACATCATCCTCCCACCAACAAGATCCCAGGGAATGGTGAGCACTCCAAATCTTGCAAATAGATGCCGCAGGAGCATTTTATTAACGAGATTTGGAGTGCTCTACATTCAACAGATATTGCCGGAGGTGAGGTAAGTAAGCTATCCATATTTTCCCCTTAAAGGTTTTCATTAAAGCATTTATGCTGCTTTTTAGAAAAGTGGAGGGGTGGCAATTCAAATCTGCATTTTAGATGCAAGGTCTGCTTTATTGATGCATGTGAATCTGATCCTGTGAATGAACAATACAAATTCTAGCTTACTTTTTTTCACACTCTAATTGCATAATCTGACAGCTTGTCCCCAAAAAAAAAAAAAAATGTAATCTCGCACAAATCTCTTTTATGAATTGTCACATTAAGGGTCACTTTCACTCCACAAAGAGTGCCTCTGGAACACACTGGAACGCAACCCGGTAGGCTCCCTGCGTTCAGGGGTGGGAGGGGGCGTGGCGTGCATTGAAGTCAATGGCACCGCAGGTACACCCCTCGCCCGCAGTGCGATCACCCAAACCCGAACACGTGGCACATTAGTAACTGCGTTCTGGGCCAGTGCGATCTGCAAAAATAGTGCATGCAGCATTTTTGCAGTTCCAGAGCCAAACACTCTGGAACGCACTCTTTGTGGTGTGAACCGGCCCTCAGGGCTGTCCTTATAAAAGGGGCAGTCTGAAGGTGTTCCCACAGGCAGCATCTCTCCGTGTCCCGTGGAGGGGGAAAGAGCAGCATGACCTCTTTGCTGCACAATGTTTGCAGTGTGTCTGCCGCCCCCTTTCCGGCCGGAGCTCCCCATGTTGCTAAGAGCCGGGCAACCTGGGATGCTCTGTCCGGTGACCCACTCAGCTCCTGGCAACCTATGATATCACTGGTTGCCAGGAGCTGAGTGGTGATGC